ACAAAAAATATTTGAACTAAAACTTAAGAAAACGATATAAAAATGTTTCTTAAAGACTTGGGATATGACATATTTTAGTATTTTAGATATAAATACATGCATTTTAATTAAAAAAAAGCTATAAAAGGTTATATACTTTTTCCTCATGTCCAACAAGATGTGTGTCGGTGTTGTGCCCCTTCTTACTTTTAGCCCAAAGCACCATCTAATTAACTCTGAATTCCAATCTCTAACCCAATAACCTTTCAACTCAATCTACAAAATAGTAAGTTATTCATTGTTTAGTTCCTCAAATCACCTTCACTTAAAAATCCACTTCCATATATCAAATTGAAAGCCATTCATTTCATTCTAAACCCTTGGGATCAGACACTGAAAAAAAGAATGAATTATTATCCAAAGCCCACCCAGTTCTTGTTTTATCCAAGAGTTATGCCTAAGGGATCCATCCTACATTGTTGGATCTATATGAAATCAAGCATATGGCAAAAGCAAGTAAGAAGAACGCCACCCTCAAGAAAGCTATATGAATTAGTAGAATTGAACCAAAAAGAATATAAATATAACCACTTATTTTTCACCACTATTATAATTCAAACCAAAAGCATATGATCAAATGTCAAATACCTAGTACTTTCAGCAATCTAATCCGTATCCTTGTGACACAATTTAACTAGCCAGTGAGTTAAAAATTGCTACTGAGATCAATGTCTTTCTTTTCTAACACAAAATCATGTGCCTTAAGAATTGTTTAAGCATAATTATCATAGAATGGCATAGGGGAGTATTGGTGTATATGTAAAATAAAAAATTACTATCTTTGTATAATATATAACTAAGACTCTTTCAATGTGTGTGTAATAGATATTGAAGGAGTTGAGATTTGGTAGGTCACTGATTGAAGACGGGATTTCTCCACTAAGGTGGTTTAGGGCCAAATTGAGTTAGTTTAGGCCAGATATGTTTCTGATGGCTACCAAAATCTCATTAGAAAGTCTATTCCCCTTTAAATTGAGAATAGAGGTTTTCTACAATTATGATATACTAAATTCTATTAATGGCATTTTTTGAGAGGTCAAGTTTTCTAAGTCTAGAAAGCTACTGTATATAATCTAGAATAAGGTTGATGTGGAAGAGTGAAGGACTTGTTAAAAGAGCAAAAGAAAACATGAACTCACTTTACTACCGCTTTTTTGAACATGATGAAGGAATTTCCTAGACAAAAATTATTTGATTAGATCGGTCAAAACTCATTTTACTGTTGCTTTCTTGACATTGAAGTGCTTTCATAAGCATAAGTTAAATTTGAGAAAAATATTTATTTTTGAGGAGTGGTGCAAAAGTAAGTTTGAAAAGGAGTGAGGAGGTAAACAAGTGCAACAAATTATGTTCATGCCTTTTTTTTTTTGGAACACTATTGTCTATTGTACGAAGTTTGGTGACCCATTGATTGAGGTCCTTCATTTAGTAGATCGTGAGAAAAAGCCTGTAACGTGGTATTTATGAGGTAATGGATAAGTTTACATGGAAAATTGCTGTTATGTTTGAAAAGAATAAGACCAAGTATAAAGAAATAATTGATATTATTGATGCAAGGTAGAATTGTCAACTTTATGAACCCTTGCATGTGGTTGGTCATTACTTTAATCCCAATTTTTCTATGGCTATTCAAATATTGAAAATGATAAATAAGTCATGGTTGTTTTGTAGAATTGCATTGAAAGATTCATACCACAAGTTAAAGTATAAGATTTAATTAGTAAGAAATTGGAAATTTACATGAGAGTTGAAGGGAATTTTAAATCTAACATACCAAAAAGACAAACAATACTACTAGTGTTGGCTGAATGATGGTCTTTATTTAGATTTTCAACCCCAAATTTATAAAAGTTTGCCATAACAATTTTTAGCCTTACTTGCAGCTCTTCTAGTTGTGAGAAAAATAGGAGTGTGTTTGAACATGTAAATAACTAATTATATAAGTAATGCACTTATATTTAATTCAACTTATTAGTTAAAAATTATATTAATTTCATTGTTATTTATTTTGCAGTTTCATTTCAAAGAAAGAAATAGGTTGGAGCAAAAGCGTTTGAATAATTTGATATTTATCAAGTACAATAAAGTTTTGTGGAGAAGATATGATAACTAGGATCGTATCGATCGTATTTTGTTCGATAGTCATACATTGGATGAGAGCAATGAGTGGTTGGTGAGTAGAATGAAAGATAAAGTTGAGAATGAACTTGTGTTTGGTGATGACAATTTGACTTGGGCTAATGTTACAAATGCTATGGGAGTTGATGAAGATCCCTATCCTTTAAAATCTCGAAACTCTCATTGTACTAGTTTAACTTCATAAAAGGAAAAAAGAGGTAGACAATCAACTTTCATGGCAAGACCAACAAAAAGAATGCAAACGTCATTTACACTAACAATTCTAGAAGCTAATGAAGATGAGGAATTTGATACCAACTTAAGTAATACAAAAGAGGAAGAGGAGAAGGATAATGAATGCTATAGGTCTCTTAGTGGTGATAAGGATGATGACATTAACCTTAACGATGAAGATTTTATTGACAAGGCATAGAGTCGTGGAGTATTTTAAAGTCTAGAATCTAATTGGTTTTACTTTTAGACTTTTTGTGTAAGGATTATGTGATTTAGATATTTACACTTATTATTTAAGTTGCTTGAATATTTAGTTGTATTGGTGTTTTTGTATATATTAGAAATATAAAAGTATATGCACTTTATGCACTATAACTTTAAGAGGCTTTTGTGCTTAGTTGCGCTTCACACTCCAGACAACTATGATCAATTCACATATCAAAATAAACAATCATCAACAAATAATCCATAAATCAGAGATATGATTACAATGGTTAAGTTATATCATCCCTAAATCAAAAATTACTCCATAATACTCTTAATTAGATCTATCAAATTCGTAATAGGTTTAGCAAATATGGAGTTAATATATTAAACCATGTGAAACTAAAGAAGAAAAACTAGATTCATAGTTGAACACGCTGTACAGTTGCCACTGCCCTATTTCTTACTATCGTTGTTGAGATATTTCGTGGTTCTCTCTTCTATTATATTTACTCCTCTGCTGCTATCCACATTGTCATACACTAAACCTAACTACCTACGCTATAGTTATCTACATTAAACTACTCTTTGGTACCTCTCTTGACTATGCCAAAGACCTGCTTCCTCTAATAGTGTCCTTCCCTTTGGTCTTTGGGTTTAGATTTTGGTGGATCTACTATGGCTTAACATGATCTTTAGGTTTTCGACTTAAATGGATTTGGTCTGGTTTGTTGGGTTGCATCTACTTTTGGCATAAATGGGTTGCTCTAGTCAAACTTTAGCCTGTTTTGCCTTTCCATTACTTCGGGTTTTTGTTGCAAATACTAGGCTGGACATCAACTTCTAGATTTGCTGTTGTTTCTTTAGAATTGGGCTTTGACTAATTTAGGAACGAAATTGGGTTGCTTGTTTTGGACAGAGTTGGTTTGGCTATATTTGGGCTTTGCATTACATACTTGGTTTGTTGTAGAATTTTTGGACTTCACCAAACTATTCTGATTTCCATTCTACTTTTGGGCAGCTTATGTTCTAAATTGGGTTGAGTCCCAAATATCAAAATTATAGCTTGGTTCTTAACTTTCCAACCCAACTTGAATTCTAGCTTTGGTCATGATTTTCTCCCCCTAGATGCTGCTTGAAAATTAGTAGAAAAACTACTATGTTCTCTTGTTATCTACTGTTGGTGTTTACTAAATTTTGAGTGTCTTCTGGTTGAACTAGAATGAGGTTAGAGTATGAAAGTTTTATAACTTTGTCTTAGCTTGTCAAAACTTCTCTGGATCATTTCAATTCGAGTTTCTAGCTTCATTTATTATTTTTTCCCTAAAATCATTGACATTTTTGTAGCAACTTTTGCAGTTTTAGCCTACACAAGACATTCAACATATATATGCCTATTTTAGGCATAATAAAGAGAAATATTTAATAAATTCTAACCACATTAGCTATAAAAAAATATGAATAAAATGGACTTATCACTTACCTTTTACTTAAAATAGAGAGGCTTGCTCTCATATGCTATGTTATATATATTTTTAATAATAGAAATTTCTGGTTACTTTGAGAATGAGATTGTTGTTAATGTATTTGAACCATGTTTGGTGAGGGAAATAGCTATACCAAATAGAGGGGTGTGGAGCCACTCTTGAATGGTGTAATATTACACCTACATAGAGTGGTTGTTTCATAAATTAAGCCCCGATGCGAATGGCATAAGGGCTAATGTGAATTTATTCAATTCTTTTTATGGATTACATGGTTCCCAAATAAGTTACTACACTAGTATTGTATCTATTCTAATTGGACTTGATATGATTTTCGAAAATCACTAAAATGATATGATACGATATTATTACTCTGAGTTAACATTTTCTTCTCCACACCATTTATCTCTTTGTACAATACTCATTGGATTTTGTAACTCATTTTCTTATATTTTCTTCTCTCCCAAAATAACATGTGTTGTTCTTGAGGTAAGACCCTCAAGAAGAAGAAGATAAGTTAACAATGTATCTACATTCATTTGAGGTATTATGAATTTGAGACATTTTGTAAATAAGGTTTTGGATGTATGTCATAGAACAAAGAGAAATTTGTATTTTACAAGTTGAAATTTTTTAGACTTGACAAGTGTTTTTGATAGATGTCGATCTTGCTTTGAGTCCCAAAGATTTGGTGTTGGACAAAAGTGAGGACTTGAAACAAAGTCAACTGACACCATGTCACAATTCAAATTGAGTGAAGCTCATTAAAGAAGGTGGCTGAAATAAGAAGCCATAGCTTGACACTTTTTTTTTTTCTTTTTTGTAGTTGATCTAATTCATATCTATGTTAGCTATCTTTACCATTCCTATAAATGTCAATATTCCAAAGAGTAGCGAAAGTAGAGAACACTCTAGATATTATCAATAGTAATTTAGGCAAGCAACTGCAGAGTGAAGCTCATTAAAGCTGCTTGGTGGCTGAACTAAGAATTCATAGCCTGAAGCATTTTAGTAGTTAATTTAGTTTATACATACATACATACATATATATATATATATATATATATAAGCTTTCTTTTCCATTTTTGTAAAGGGCCATGGCCCTAAGAGAAGAGAAAGTAGATAACATTACTATCATCACTAGTAATTTAGACAAGCCATTTTGCCAAACTTTATTGCCAAATAACATTAGAAGGACAAGCTTCTTTTATTTATTAATATGCTTGCATGCATATATGCATCCACTGGCAAGCTATAGTAGCAAGGAAGGAGCATGCATAATTACTCGGCCTTGATAAGATTGAAAAGGAAGGGAGTATTGCTCAACGCTAAGCGTCTGTATTGCCCGTCATAGTAAATACCAATGTCTTTACATACGGCGCACATCCAAGGGCAGTAAACTAATTTGTTAAAGAAGTTGATCTTGATTATCTTGAATCGGCTGAATATTGTTTCGGGCCACAAGTTTCCTTCCACCCCACCAGTGCTGATAAAGTATTGCTTGGTGCTATCGTCATACTGATTGACCCTCCACACAGTGGAGTCATTACATGGCGTGGAGGTGGAGAATTTGATGTTGAGATTGGTAGACTGACGAACCACATCCCCTGTAGTCTCAATTAGAGGAGTCAGCCTTACAGGCTTGCCATAATCTCGATCTGATGACAACTGGATAACATCGAGGGGACAACCACTTACGTTAGCCATTGACACGCCACCACCTCCAGGCCCCCAAATTATTGACACCATGTAGTAGCTGCTATCTGTGCGAACCTCCTCACCCTTTATGTCAAGTACCGGTTCCCCCTCATCATCCTTTCCCGTGATCGCAAAAAGTGGCTTTGCTATGATGGCAGAGAAAAGAAAACAGAGGGATAGCACCCCAACTAACGTTGTTGTCTTCATTTTATTATGACTGTAAGGAAGAAGAACTTTCCTCCTATTTATAGATTCATCCCAATTAATGGAGTGGGATGGTGGGCCATTATTATGTATCACTAGTTTAATTCCTTTTGTTTTGATAATCTTTAAAATATCTAAATTAATCATTTATCATGGGTTAGACAATATTCATTTTACCTCAAATTTAATGTACCATAAACATGGAAATATCGATATAATAAATATATTTTGTTTTTATTTTTAGGATCCATTAATTAATTATTTAATAATATATATTTTTTGTTGTGATCTATGTTGGTGTTTGTTGGTTTGCTCTCAAGGAAGCAAGCTTTTCATCTTCATTTAGGTGTTTTGCCTTGCTTTCCTCTCCTAGTTGTATGCTATCTAAAAGAAAAAATAAATGAAAGAAATAAACTGATTCTTTTTTTTTTTTTTTTTTTACCGCACAATAAACAAGATAATCTAAACTTTTGAATTGTCAATATATGTTATTTTCCCAACATGGACGCAATTTAACTTGAATTTTAAGTGTGTAGAAAATCTAATTTTCAGATATATGTGTGCTTCCAATTTTCCATGCGAGAAGAATCTTACTTTACTTAATAATAATAATAATTTATATTCCCTGAAATCATGTAGTTAGTTATTCTTTTTGGTGGTTAATTGTTTTTACTTTATATATACTAATTAACTTATTAATTATTATAAAAGATATTATTTCTTCTCGTTGAGAGAAGATTACGTAATAAATATGATATAAGTGGTAAGAAACTCTTATATTTATAGAGGAGAATCATGTTTAAACCTATGAAAACACACATTTAAAAAGGGACAACTACAATATTCTTTGAAAACATATAAAACGAATGAGAATACCAGTTAAAACTTAAAAAAATAGAAGGCTGATCGAATATATTTTGCCATTTTATAGTAATTGTTTAAACCACTTATTTTTATTTAAATAAAAATAATATTATCAGAAATCAGAATGTATCCATACTGATGCACGCAGAACCCACCTGTTAGACACATGTTCAAGTGTGTCTTATTATTTCTTTGTTTAACTCGGAAATCACATGGAAGAAATGAATTTGATGTTTAGGAAATGACAAGAAAGTCAATGAAGGATTAAACGTATAAGTATAAAACTTTTTTAAGGGAGACCAATTTATAATGATATTAAAATTATATTTCTTTGATATGCTTTGAAAGATTATATATATATTTTTTTCTAATTTCTAAAACCAAATGAAAAAGAGTGGGAATTGCTTGCTCTTTGTTGTACTGTAAACTGTTATTCTAGTAACTAATACTTTCCGCAGAAGTGTTTCAAAAAGTGTTTTAAGTCTTCACTTACATAATTAATATAACATCAAGCAGATAATAAGCCATCCTGTTCAGGTAGCTACTGCTTTAATATTTCCCGCATATTCTATCATGTTAGGCATTAAGGTTGCGTATGGTAAGATAGTGAAAAAATAAAAGTGTGAATGAGAATTTTGAAAAAATATATTTGGCATCTACTTTAAAATAGAAATATTGGTTGTTTAGGAAATAAGAATTCTATCCCATGACTTGCTTACGTAATTAGCATATTGCCCACTACATTTTTAACTAATGACACACACACATATGCGGGCACGCGCACACACATATATAATTTTTAATCTTTTAGTTTTTTAGTATGCCTGTTAATATATTATAAGTTAAAATTTATTCAAATTTTAAAATTTTCTAATAAAGGGAGTTTTTATCTTTGAATAATTTTTTTTTTTGTTTTCATTCGTACTTTTATTCTAACATAACAAATATAATGATAAGGTATGAATTTTTATTCTATCAATGCTTACTAAATATACCATTAATAATTTTCATTTCATTTCTTTCTCATTTTATAAATAATTATTTTATCACATCATACCTAACTTGAATTTTGGGTGAAGGGGTTGGTTGCAAATTGATTGATTGTGGGTAGAAGGAAGGTAACTTATCTCATACTGTAGAACATATCCTCGTCGTGTTCAAGATAGATGCACGTTAAACATGACTAGGTATAAAAGTTGTGAACATCATGCATTTCATGACTACAGTAAGAAAAATAGATTGGGTCTGTATTTTTTTAACGGAGAAATGAACACAATCTAGATTATTTGTTATTATGCAAGGTGCAGATTTTTTCGTGAAAAAGTAAATTATGAAAGATTTGAGGGGACAATTTAGAAGTTTGAACCATTTATTAAAAGCAACAATGGTCAAGCACTAATAGATAATAGTACAACATAATATCATATTAAAAAATTCATGTGAAATAATATATCATAAAATTTCGGACGAATAATAGTTTGACAAAAAATAACACATCAAAAACAATTTTCGATGGAGTTATTTGACAGTTAAAAATTTTCACCAAAAGCTGTCAGAAATCAGATCGTAGGATGCTGTTTTTTTAGATAGACAATGGGCTTTTCCGAGGGATACTGTTCATTGGAAACCTTTTTAATTTATTTTTTTCCTCCGTCAAAATTTTTGTCTCAAAAGTTTTTTGACAGACGGGGTTAGTTGGGAAATTTTTTAATTTTTTTAATTTCTCAATTTTTCAATGGACTTAGTCCACCGAAATAGTTTCTAATGTCCATAGGAAATTTTTGAATTTTTTAAAATAATTTTTTTTACTATTACTAGGTGGAATTTTTGGTCAAAAATTGAGGCAAAAATTTTTAAAATTTTAAATTATTTTTATATATTATTTATACAAAAAAATTTATATAAATAACTAACTATTATTCAAATAGTTTATATGTCCAAATATTTAAATTTTATATAATCAAACAACTAAATATTCAAATTTAAGCACACAAGTCTACAATAATCAAATGGAAAAAAAAAAATAGAGATAGTATCAAATCATGAGCAAAATATCTAATGCTCCTCCTCAAACTCAGTCCTTTGAACATCCGACTCATGCATATCTACAGGAACTCGTGGAGGTATGCTATGTGATGATATGGAAGGCCAACACTCTAACCTTCCTATAGTTGCCATCATTTTTTGAGTAGTACTCTACATGCTCCCACTTTCTCTTGTACCGCTTCTTCCCATCTCTCTTGACTATAGCTCCCCATTCAACGCCTGCGTTCTCACAGACATCTTAACAAGCTCTACTGCTATCTATGTGGAAGAGGATTGATGCGCGCCTAGCACGCCTAATTTGGCAAGTGCACCAGCCGTGACAAGTAATAAAGTGATGAAGTAGAGTGTCGATCCCACGAGGACTGATTTTGATTAATTTGAAATTTTGACCTAACTTAGGTGTTAATTGAGAGAAAAGTGAGTTTGCAAAATTTTAATAAAAATAGAAAATAAAATTTCTAACTAGTGAGGGAAATTAAGAGATCATGCAAGAGAGAGATATAAGTGAAAATATGTGAGAGACACCATTGGGGAAGATGATTTCGCCAATACCACCTTAATTTTGCTTGATATTATGAATTAAAATGGAATCTAGTGTTGCTAAAATATATGAGATGGCAAGATTTCCAAAACTATTAACCTTCCTACCGGACTGGCTAAACTATCTTGAAAGTGAATATTTTCGTCGGTCTTTACCGAGTCCCGCCTAATTTGCTCAATTTCAAAATGCATTAAGATTAGTGAAATCCCTTTCGGTTAAGCATCCTACCGGACTACCTAAACAGACTACACAATAGAAATTAGGCATTCTACTGAACTACCCAATCTTAATTGTGTCAAACAATGCATTGACTCGTAATTGAAAATTACATTCAAAATTCAATTCAGTTAAAATCAATAAATCCCACCTAGCCACTCCTACCGGACAATAACAAGGTTGAAAATATCAATTACAAACGAATAGCATTAAGATTAGCAAAATTTGATCTCATTAATTCAGTTTTTATCTACAAATTTGTTTTAAAAACTGTTTGCAACAAATCTGAAAATTCATTTAGCTCCTCTTACCAGACCAAACTAAACTAAAACTCTAATTTTATGCAAACAACATTAAGCTCAAATCTGAAAAAAATTTACAGAAACCTAGAATCAACAATTTCAATGCATATTATCAAGCAAAATGAGGTGGTATAGCTATATCATTTCCCCAACAAAGATAATCACCCCATGATGTTCTTAAAAAATGTAGCAACAAATTTAGCATACATCATGAGTTCATACATATTACAACTGATAGAAGACTAGAAAATGTTTAGACAATGAAAGCAAAGAAAAGAACTCATCAGATGAAGAAATCTGTAGAGAGAAACTCCTTCCTCCCCCTTCAATTTCGTGCCTTTTCTTGCTGGTTGCAGAACCTCTCTTCTACTGTAATTTCGTGCCTCTCTGCAGCTGTATTTCATGCCTCTCCAGCTCTAGAACCAGCCCCAAAACATCTCCTCTCAAGCTGTAACCTGCTGCCCCAAAAAAACCTCCTCCTATCTCACTGGTATTCCCCCCCTCTGCTGTAATTTTGTGGCAGATAGAAAAACTCCGAGCAAACCCTCCTCTCTAGCTGAAGAATCACTTTCTCACCCACTCCTACCATCCTCTGCACAGGCCATGCTCAGCCCATGCCTAGGCAGCAGCAACCCTTCCAAAACCATCATCAATCCTGTTGGTTTTGATGGAATGGAGTGGTTCAGTTGGTTGGCTTTGAATTCCAATGGTCATGCATTGTTACAAGAATTGCAACTCAGTTGGATCCCAAATTAGGGTTATGGGCGCGGGTCTGGATCCTCCATACGGGTCATGAGTGCTTGGATTTGGATCTGCAAACTCTGATGTTGCTGTTGCTGCTGAATCTGCAAGTCTATTTGCTTCTTCCAAAATTTCGGACATCTTACATGCTGAATTGGACTGAGGCTAAAACATAAAAGTTGTAGAATGCTTTCTTATCTTTCTAATGCCTTTTGAATCATCGCAATCTGAATTTTCTAACTCAAGTTATGAATGTTTTTCTTCCAACACGCTGCTGTTAAAAATCTGCATAACTGCTCTGACTGTTGCAACTGTTTGCTACATTTTGAACCCTTTCTATGCTGAATTAGATTTTGAGCAAAACATGAAAGTTGTGGAGATTTTCATGAGGTTTCCAAAACATCTTAAATCATCTTGATCTGAATTTTCTACCTCAAATTATGATATTTTTTTCTACAACTGAACTGGACCATGGAGTGAAACTCTGCAGAA